CATTCAACAATCGTTCCCTACCACTCAGTCGTTTGATCCCGCCTATCGTGCCAACGGGCTCATCTCCGAGCGCGCTCCACCAATCAAATTGATCTCGCACTTAATGCGTTAGGCGCGATCCACATTTTCCAATATTATTCTTCTGCGCTTCTCCACAGTATGCTTACCCTACTTGTGTCACCCACGCGTCCGTAGCGTTTTTCAACTGTCGGCTGGGACAGGTTTTCAAACGAGTGCGTCCGCGTCTGACACTTTGACCCTGGTGCGTAGTCGACATTCGGTTGCTGGGGTGCTGCGGTCGCTGATGGTGTTGACTTTGATGCCACTGCGGCCGCTCGTTGCTTAGAGTCGTTGAAGGCAGATGCTCGACTGGCTTATCGTCCTTTGCTACATAGCTGTCTTTATCGCAGAAGCCGCTATTGTCTTCACCGTTGATCTTTTCACCTTCGTCACGTAACTCGACCGGCTTGGTGGTGACTTGTTCACGCTTGCCGTTGTCGAACGTGTCTCCCATAAACTGCAAATCGCGACTCACAATAATTCCACCCTCTGATAATTCTTCGAATCGATATGCCTTCTCGTGGTCCAATTATCCGAGGAATTGGCACAAACTTGCTCGCGGGTCCATCTTTGACTGCTTCTCTTTGGAAACTTGGGCGTAGGCATGGCAGTCAGACACTTTGAGGCTGGCGAGCAACGGCTTCTTCTTTGTCACTTCTTCATACGGGTGCTTAAGCGGATCTTGGGCGCGGGTCGGGGGACGATTGCCAAGGAACTGTGCAGTAATCACTGCTTCGCCCCAGTACTTGTTAAACAAGCCGGAGTATACGAGCATGCACCGCGCACCCTTGACCAGAGTTCGGCTAATCCGTTCGATTACGCCATTAAACTCCGAGGTGTATAAAGGCGGTAACTTCTGAATGAATCCTCGGTCGGCGCAGAACTTGGCAATTTTGGTCGACTTGTACTCGTCACCGTTGTCGCTTCGAAGTACCTTGATTTGCCTGCTGGTCTGGTTGTCCACCAACTTTACAAATAGCACAAATTTGTCGAAGACTTCTGACTTGTTTTGCACCAATTGCACCGCGCAGAATCGAGACTTGTCATCGGTAAACGTTACGAAGTACCGCATGCCACCAAATGTCGAAGTCTTCATGGGGCCGCACACATCGCTGTGTACGACTTCCAAAAGAGTCGTGGCTCGATCCGTCGTAGCTAACTGGAACTGGACGCGAGTCTGCTTGCCGAGCGCACAGCCGCCACATAGCTCCCACTTCTTCACTGACCCGATATTGAGTCCGTCATCAAGGTTCTTCTTCACGATGGCTTTAAGTCCTCCATAGCCGATGTGATCGAGTCGAAGATGCCAAAGATACGACTTGGAAGCCACGGCGTTTTGAGCTGCGCTTGTAATGCTCAATGTCTCGACTGGTACTAAGGTTATGTTGAGCTTGATCAGACATTTGCCGGCTCGAGTGTGTATATTCCACTTGGGAAGTTTGAGTTTCACCGTGTAGCCGTTGTTGTCAAAAGTAGCAGGCGTGATAACTCGTTGAAGCGTCCAATTGAGAACATGTTGCGACTGATTTTCGGGATGTGCCACACGCTTGGAAGCACACCCTTCTTTGTGTCGCTTGGAGAATCCATTGACATTACGGTGTCGTCGATACCGATCGCTCGGACGAAGCTGTCATCGGCGAGATGCACGTCAACTGGGTCGATCTTCATGTAATTCTTCATAAACACCTTGGTGTGCGACATATGTTGAGTCGCACCAGAGTCGATCAACACGCAAAGGCTGAGTCCGACTTGTCTTGGACCTTCTCGACCAATAATAGATACTCACCGGGACCCTCATTTCGCACAACATTCGCACGCTGGGATCGTTGTCGACGGTTGCCGTTATTGTCTCGGATCCGCAAGGGACACTCCGCGATCCAATGACCCATTTTGCTGCAGTGGTCACGCGCCAATGTTCTTCACTGGCCGTCCACTGCGCTTCTTATCGCTTGACATGAATGCTTGGCCAAACACGGCTTCGTCGCCGCCTTGATTCTTGATCTTCATGTCTTCATATAAAAGCCGAGACGTCACGAGTTTCCACGTCAGTGTGTCGGCACACGACTCCAACGCCGTGATCACAAACTGGTACGACTCGCTCAGACTTCCGAGAAGCGTGATTACCAAGTCGTCCTCACTGACTGGAGCACCGACCGCGTCGAGTTGTTCCGCCAGCATCTTGAGCTTATTGATTTGCGCGAGCACATCATCACCTCCTTCCATCATAGTCGTGGAGATACGACGACGAAGAAAGAGCTTGTTCGCAAGACTCTTCTTCTCGAAGTGTTCTTCCAGTATTGATCATTCATCGTGCGCACCACTCGCCGATCGAACCAACTGGAGTTGCGAGTCTTCCATAGCGAGACAGATCATCGCCAACGCCTACCGAGACTTCTTCTTGAAAAGCGCTTGGTCCGTTGGGACTTGGCACTGCCCCAGATTGACTTCTCCGCTGACGACTTCCCAGACATCTCGTTCTTCGAGCACCATCTGCATCTTGCACTTCCACATGTGGAAGTTAATTTCGTGGAAGTTGTTGAAGCGGGCTGGGGTCGGATACATGGCGAAGGCTGGGGAGGAATAGTCGGCGAAGGTAGAGTTGGCAGATCTTGAGCTTATAACCTGTTGAAAAGTCGCTCGAAACTGGTGGAGTGCAAAACGAAAAGTGAATAGATTTAGGTCCTTAATTCGCAACTTCTTCGTGCTACTCTAAGTTTAATGCATTCTTCGACTATACAACAGTAATCGACACGACGCGCATTACTCGTTGTATAGTCGTGCATGAGTAATCTACTCTATACACTTTACTCATCAGATAGTCGGACCTGAGTAATCTACTCTATACACATAACTCATAAGATAGTCGGACATGAGTAATCCACACTACTGGTATTACTCATGGGATAGGGGCACTATTAATCGCCATAATGTACCTTTCGTTTGTCTCTCGCTGGACGAGGCGCATCTTTAACAACAGAAACCACCTTCAAATCTTTAAAATTTAATGATCGACAGCGGACATGTACTGTAGTTGAGAAGTGAAAAAGAGCGTTTGAGTTTGAAACAATTCTGAAAGTTCTCTCACCTGACGTCCAAGTGAGGCTAAAATACCGATAAAAATCAGAGTCGGGACGGACTAGGAAATCGCGCATGCAAACGTCGTGTACCGAAACGCGCCAACGTCCTTCGAATGATTCGGTCGTTTATCTTCTGCTTCAGAACTTGAGTCGTCAGTGAACGTGCAATGCTCAAAGAGCGCCTGGCCAGATGGAGCGCGCAAATCGACCGCAGCTTTACGTTGGCACCATCTTCGCTAAAGCTGGTATTGAACTCCACAATAAGTCTGTCTACACTGCAGCAACAGAGGTCACATTGACGTAATCATTCTGACTTTTGTCCAACTGCCTTAGTGAACAAGGCGCTTAACAAGACAAATCGGTCGGAATTGAACATTGCATCGGGGTACAGAACCTTTTTCATCGCTTTATGAGTGGCAGGCAGCGTGTCGCAGATACGCGCTTTGTGTCAGACATCAGTCCCTCGACTATGGCAGTCGGATGCGCTTTCGTGACGCAACGAGATTTGTGTTAGCAGTTGAGTAGTGCTAGCGGTAGTAAAATGCACTGTTTGTTTTAACGATACGTTTACAGCTGCTTCTCAGTCTCTAATTGTCTCGCCTACCGTCCCATCTTGAGGTTTGCTTAACAAGTGTTTTTCATGCTGCATCAACGCTCAATGATCACGCACGTTTTCTTGATCCTGTCAGGAGACTCCGGAGGGCTACATAGGGTCAGCAAATGAATGCAGATAGTGAGAGCATACCTTCCCTTCAACAGGTCCATCCTCCACGGATTGACTCTGCCTAGCCATTGGACTTGCATGCATGTTGCAATAGGCCAGTTGGGCCATGTCAATCAGACGTATGCGGCGGACATGCAAAACAAGCCCAACGACTGCGCATTTCCTTCGTGACTTCGTTTGGGAGCTGACCAGCCCACTTCTTTTGTTCACCTCGTCAGGTTCCACAGTCCTCCGAAGTTGTGCTGAAGATCGATGTGGTCCCGAGTGGATTCGTTCGAATCACTACCGGAGCGCTTCGTTATCCAAGATTCGACTGTTGTAGTCGAGTTACTAGGTAGGTATGTTCTCGTCTACCCAAGCATATGTGTAAGAGTATACATGGATGTATACATTGCTCCGATAGCAGTCGCATCGTTCGTACGTTACAATTCGTTTCAAGCTTGGCTGCGGTCTCGACCAAAGTCGGCCATAGTGAGACGAGCAAAGACGGTCAGCAACTATGTTTGCGGCAGCTACAACAAGGCGTACCTCCCTCGTATGGAACGGGTGTGATGATGGCTGAGATGTTCTACGAACAACCGACTGCCGGATCAGGAGTAACGTCACACCATCTCTGTACCGCATGTACATGTCACGTAATCAAGTCGGAATGCGCTGCAATCACGCATGTTGTTGACGCACGGACTTCGGACGAGGGCTTGGTTCTGTTACCTCGCATGCGGCCTCGGCTGGGTGCTGGAAGACAAAGGCGGTCATGCATTTGCTCGGAGATTGTCGCTGGACTCGTCCAATTGGCCAAGAAGGATATTCAGATGCACGCAGCGACTTGATCGATCGTGACATGTGGCAGTGCATGCCTTCCGGCTGGAATGGATTGCCAAACAAGCACCGTTTACAGCATCCGTGTGTATGTTGTCGCTAAAGCTCATTTGCTCTCTTGAAATGATGACTGGCGAACGGCGGCCGCCTTGTACTATCCCCGCCAGATGATGCCCATGCTGGTCGAGGTTTCGTGCTTGCGAGATGGAGTCCATGGGAGTCAAGTATCATGCCGAGGAGCAAGAAAAGTGCCAGTCATGCACATACAAAGAGCACAAACGTTTGGATGCAGACGCGCTGGAAAACAATCTTTTCGCCGTTTAACTGCGGAACGACCGCGAAAACTGCTCGCGAGCCGATGCGAACGCCTGCGAGATATACAGAAACACGTGCCCTATATGAGCAACAGCAGCCGCAATGATCTACTACTTGCTTCTCGCGCTGACTGACCTGTGAGATAGAAAGTTCTGCAACCGGGACTTCGTTGTCGATACCCTGCAGCAAAGGAACAACACGCACAACCAACATCACATCGTCAGCCGGTCGCGGCCACACCAAGTGAAAGGACGACGCGAAAGATGCAAGCTCTTACGCGCATGAGCACGCGGTTCGCGATAGACGGCGTGTCGATTTCTAGGATGATCCTGTTGTCGAGGAGCAAATGGTCGCCTTAGACTTCCCAACGAGTGATTTACATGAATCATCAAAGCACCGCGACAACCTTACCCGCCATCGACGACCTCGTCAAACGTGAGTAGCACCAGCTCAATGTTGTCCAGCATCACGTGGCGATCCATCCGACCCCTACAGTAGCAGCCAACAACAGCATCCGTCAACCACCATGCAAGTGCCAACATGACTGTTGCGGCGAAAGAACAACAGCAACGTACTTGAGCAAATTGCTGACCGTGTCAAAGGCCGCGTCCAGCACCGTCAGGAGGATAAGCTCGTTCTGTATCAACCGGATCGACATCCACATCCACGCATCCGCAGCGTGAGTTACCGGTTGCTTCGACTACTATCAGACGCGTCGCGTCTTTGCATCGCTTACTTCCAGAGCAGATCCGACCACGTGCATTGTCGTGTCGGAGCCACAGCGGTACACGCTCACGACGTTTTCAATTAGGATAATGTCAGCTATGGACCCACAAAACAACGAAACAGAGCGGAAAATAACATCATTTAAGCGACCCAACGTGTGTCAGATCAGCCTCGACCGTCAAGTCCCCAACGCAATGCACACACCTTCTAGACGTGCGTTTGCGTTCTTCGTCTTGGCGTACAGCTTCTTCTCCAGCGCGACCTGTTCCTTCTGCGTTGGGTACGACTTGTCGTAGTACTTGGCACACACGCGATTGCCATCGCTGTCCAAGATGAAGATCGCTCTCACGCTGGGAGACGAAGCCTGCGGAGCGTTCACGGGTCAGCAGCCACAGGGTCAGTACCGTCTGCAATCTATCGCGAACGAGAGACCGCCAGCTGCCACGTCGTGTGCGCAAGTGCGCTGTAAAGACGGTCAGTTCTAATGGCGTCCGCACCTTCGCCATGTCGCTCGTCGCAGTGGCCGAAGAGGTGTGTGCGGTGCTTCGATTGCGCGATGTGGGGCGATCTGATTGGCGATAACTCGCCTCGGTCGAGAAAAATGTGGTTTTCTTTCTGCTTTTTTTATAAAATAAGTGTCCCTCTCCTTGTTACAAAAAGCGTGCAGTCCACCAGATGCGTTCTGCTTTTGACATGGGACATGTCCCCAGTACCTACTCGATGATCATTGTGGCTCGGCTACACCACACGGATATCATGCTGCTGGTCCGGATTGAATACTGGCCGCTGGTCCGCCATCGAGTTGCTAACGACAGTGTTGTGGCGCTGGGCATCATAGTTGCCTTGCTGGTCCAGCACATCTATCAGCGCCGGGTAGTTGTGGTTGAATGCCAGGTCATTCTCGGCGCGTGTGTGCGTAGACAGCGCAAAGATACGCGACATCTTTTGCTGGAAACGGAACTTGTACGGCTTTGGCGGCAGCGCAGATACACCTTCGGGGTCTTTTCGCTTGACAAAAGTCTTGTAGAAACGCTCCATCTTCTTCTCCAATGTCCTGGAAGCAATATAACACGATACGAGGTCAGTCAGTACACGGAAAGCAAAACATGGGCAGTCACGACGCGTACGCACCACTGCTGCAGAAAGTCAATGATGCCAAAATGATATAGCGATGGACCAGCTACACTCGTCGCCGGTTGCGTGAAAAGCACGTCTCGGCGAACTTGTGGTAGCTGATTCGTGTCGACGAAATACTCGGAGCTTTGAATGCCCATAAGTAGACTGTAATCCATTATGCCCTGAGAGCACAAGAAGTCACTGTCCCGGTGGATCTGGTCATAAATGCGGTGTGCGGTGGCCGGGTCAATTCGAATCTAAGCCACAAACTTAGAAGTAAGTCATCTGATCACACGCATAAACTTGTGCTCAAAACATGCGACGTACCTTGGTCATCAAATCATTATCCTTGAGGACGATGTCCGGCTCGTGAAAGTTCATACCGTCGCCACATTCCTGGTTCTTGGTGCTGCCAAACGTATACGACGCATTGCAATAACGGCATGCGGTCTTGCCACCGGGACTCGGCACCTTTGCGTTGCGATCGACCCACGATCCTTTGATATCGTAACGGTGATGCACAACGTCCGTGTCCGAAAACAAGTTTCCCATCACCACAAAGTAGTACATCTTGCCGTACAGTGAGACGGAGTGACAGCCATAGAATCGCGTCAGAAGTGTATCGGGGTTGCTCGTCATATACGCCTCATAGTTTGGTGCCATCTTGCGCAAGAATGTACACTCTTCCGGCGACATGGTCTTCACAATCAAACTCTCATCAGACGTGTAGAACATGAACGCGCCGCTGCGACCTTCGCTAAACCGTTCTTTTGTAGTCGCGCCAAACATTTGGATGTAGTCCACATCACTGATGCCAAACGTCCGGCGGATATTGCGAAACGAAGCGGGACAGAACGACCAAAACTTGATGGATTTGCCCTGCGAAGCAAACGACGTTAGACTACAATCAGCATTTCGTCCAGCCTTGTACAACTATCACATATCCACAACCAGCACACGCATCACTTACTACAGCCTCGCTTTCGCCAGAGATCGGGATGGAGATCAGCTCATCCGTCACCGCGCGAACAGATTCCTTGATACCAGATGTGGTGTAGTATAAAATCTCCGAACGCAATGCTGTGTTCACCTGCGGACTCAAGTCGACATCCACATCTGCTGATTCGCCACGACCACTCCCACTTTTTCGCTCAATATTGTTCACAGCAAACCAAATCACATAGTCCAAGTAGCCCTTGGACGCAATCAGGAAGATGACCAGCTGACGCAGCACCTGCGCGACGGCCTCCGAGTTCGACGTGTCACTCTTTGTCGACAAGAAGTACGCGCACATGTATAGTAGCAGCAAAAGCAGCCAGTAGAAAACATATGCACCAGTGAAGCTGGTGATTACGGCGAAAACGCAAAACGTCATCCAACACTGTTAGATACCACCACGCCCGCGCATAAAAGTCACAAAACAGGACGTGCAATCTCACAAAGAAATGTAGTTCAGCACACGGAGGCGGATATTGTACGTCTTGGGCACGCCGCGGAGGTACAGTCGGTGCCAAGCCAATGTTAGCACACTGTTGTACAAAAGAACTGCGTCAGACACATATCCAACATGGACACTCACTTGACTCATTCTAGTATCTTACCACACAGACACGAACAACACCAGCAGCACGAAGCAGTATATCAGGATCCAGGGCCTGTCAAACGATACGAATTAGTCCAGGCTTTCCTCAAATGTCGGCTGAAAAGTCCCACGAGACCGTCCGCTTACCACTGCTGTGCGTTCAAGAAGTTAGAAGTAGTCGAGCATCTTGTCACGGTGTCTGGGCACGTTTCGCCAGTATCGCAGCAAATTCGCGATGAAGCGAGACAAAAGCCAATCACCGTGTCCGTATCGGATTCGTACGTCATTGACTGGCCGTCGACGGTAAAGAAACCACCCGCGCCTTGCACCGAATACGTAATAACGCCCATAATAATCCCTCCTAGCCACACCCAAAGGTGGTAAAACTTCATCAATCGCTTGTAGCTAGTAAATGGACTCGTAAGCTGTACGGGAAAATAGAGCGGTTAGTGTCAACTTTCACAATTCCTTCAGCTCGTAACACGAGGTAGACCATACCGAGAAGAAGAGATCGCAAGCCATAACGAGGCCCCATGCTTCGCCTGTGAAAAAGAAGAATTCGGTGATACCTGCTAGCCGCTGGCAGTCTGTATTCGAGCCACTAGGATCAAAGTCCACGAGCACATTCAACAGCAAGCATATTGCCATGAAGATGCTTAGCACTGATCGGTTGTGCACAATAGGGTTCGGATGCTGATGCCATTGCTTCTTGCGACAGTACGTGATTACAACCGCAGAGCCGCAAATAATCGTGTTCACTGATCCAGCAATAAGTCCCGTCCATCGATAATTGTACATTGCCACCGACACACCTAAGAACGCCATCGTCAGGCAAAAGCCAAGGAGCTGCGACTTTCGGTTCTCAAACCAGCGAATCCTGCCCTGTCCGACCGACTTGGATCGACCACGGAACTGCTGCGTCATGTCCTTATCAATCACGCGCACAATGTTCTTTTGCGCCGCGCGGGGCGTCGAAATGAGCGGCTGGTGCGCCGTGGCGCTCACGTTCGTCAGACTCATCGTGTCAACGCGATTGCCACTCGAGTTGCTGATGGTGCTGCCATTGTCCATGGTCACAAACCCACCCGAGACGCCGCGCGTGCCACGGCGCTGCTGGTACGATCCACGCGAGTCCAGCGGCGGCGGCAGGTGGCGCAGCGACCGCCGTCCGTCCTGCATCACGTCTCCTTCGTGCGAAGTCTCCATGACAAAAACGCGATTGGACGGAGGACTGTTGGTGCTAAAGTAGTGCTGGTCCTCGAGCACAGGCGTGCCGCGGTGCTGCTCCGAGTGGTTGATGACGGACTGCGATCGGCGATACGGGGCCTCGGACCTGGACATGTGGGCTCCACGCGACAGCACACCACGCACGTGTCTTCTCGATGGCACTGAATCGGCGGTCGTCGTCAAACCGGGATAGTCGGTCCCCCACGAGTCCGCACACAGTCGCTGCACTTGTTATCGTCGCTGCTGCTGCTGCTGCTGCACGAACGCCGGACACAAAAGAGAAGAGAAGGGGCGTCGAGTGCTTGTGTTACGGGACAGAAAAGAGCAGCGCGCGACAGAAAAGACCGCAAGCGCTGGTCCTCGAAGCACGGCGGGGCTGCAAGACGCTGGGCGTCGCGTGGGGCGGTAGGTACCGATCGCTGCTGCCGCACGACGAGACGCACAGTCAGTCGAGTGCAAGTTCGATCCGTGGAACTAACTGACTCGGTCGTGTTTGTTGTGAGGAAAGGCGGGCGACTGGGCGAGTGGGCGGGGGGCGTGAAGAACTTGGCTTCAGTATGTGAAACAGGACACGTGAACAATCGCGTCGAGAGGTAAACAACACAATCGAAGAAACGCTTGGAACGGCCGCCGGTCGAGAGTCTATCGACTGTCGCTCGCTCGCCGCGCAGGTGCGTCGACCTGATTGGCCACTCGGACGACAACTGTCGGACCAGCTGCGTCGTTCTATTGTCGTCAATCGCGTGCCGGGGACTACTCACACGAGGAACATCTGTCGCGGAATGGCTGGCTGGCTACCTGCGGAGAGGGCGGCAGACAAGTCTGTGGGTCCCCCGAGCTGAAGCTTCGCCCGTAAGACATGTCAACCGCAACACGCGCGATCCACTGCAGTCTTTCATTGGCAGACGCAACGATCTGCTGCTCACTATTTCGCATCACGTGCTCTCGACGCGTGAACGTCGTTCGAAAAGAACGCCGTCTGAGGCGTTTGCCGTAAATGTCTCGAGCGTCGTGCATCAGTGCTACGGAAGCACGACGTTGGGAACTGCTCCCATCGGGACCGGCACTTGGTTCGAAATGCGTTGTGGCCCATGACTTCCCAACGTCTGCGTCGCGCCTGTCGTGCCACATAGTCATCGCTGTCACATGCCAACAGCGCACTGTGTGCACTGGAGACGGTGGCCAGACAGAATGAACAACAGTACGAAAAAGCCGCCGTCCTGACCTCTTCGACGTGTCGACGCCGTGACGTCACGGAGCCAACAAGTACTACACGGTCGACGTCGACGTCTTTTGGCGTGTGGTCGTGTCGATCTACTCCATACGTTTTTCTGGCGCATACATCGATCCCTACCTCTTTCCCTTCTCTTGACATTTGTATCGCCGCCTCGACCTGACATGCCCCGCTGCTCCTCCCCCCCTTCAACCACAGACATCGGGAAACCAAACGAAGGCCACGTCCTCGAGCACACCTTTCAGCTTATCGTCCTCACACACTCGCCCCCCCTCCTCCCCCTCCTCTCGAACGCGTCTGTCCGACTGGACTGTAACTTTGTTTTCGCTCGCACATGTCTCCCCCTCCCTCGACGCCCGGCAAGAAAGTGGGCGCGCGTGACCTCTTCAATGGCGGACTGCTGCAGTGCATGGAAGCCGCGACGCTCGGCATGCCCTTCGAGGTCTGGAAGACGCGCATGGGGCGCTACCGCTCCGAAACGACTGGCCAGGCCTTCCGCAACGTGATGCGCGAAGGCGGTGGAGTCGCTGCCTTTTGGGCCGGCACAGGGCCCAAGATGGTCGAGTCGGCGTCCAAAGGGGCCATCCTGCTCTACTCGAAAGAAGCCATCTCCGACTCGCTGCGAGCTGCGGGTGTGGGTGAGACGGCGACGGGTTTCCTGGCGGGGGCGGGCGGAGGCGTGTGCCAGGTCGTGGTCATGGGTCCCTGTACGTTCCTCGTCACGGGGGCTGTCACGGGGGACCGCTCGATCTCGACCATGCAGCGGATCCACAACGTGTACGGCACGCACGGCCTCAAGGGGTTCTATCCAGGGGGAACCGCGATCGCGTTCCGACAGGCGACAAACTGGGCGTCGCGTCAGGGCTTTACCGAGATCGTGCGCGGGCAGTTCAAGGTGCTGTTCCACGGCGACAAGGAGGCCAAGTTGACGGTGGTGCAAGAGGCTGGCGCTGGCATTGTCGGGGGCGCGCTGTCCTGCTGGAACCACCCGTTTGAGGTCGCACGCATCCAGATGCAAAGTGCTGCCGACCGCGGCGAGCCCAAGCAGAACATGATGCAGGTCTTCCGCACTGTCATTCGGGAGCAAGGCTACGGAGGGCTCTTCAAGGGGATCGTGCCACGCTTGGGGCTGGGCATCTGGCAGACGCTCTTTATGGTCACGGGCGCCAAGCTCGTGCGTCAAGCGCTGGAAGACAAGAGATAGAGACCCCAGCAGTGCTGTGTGTTGCGTGCGTTGTGCCGCAAGTGGGCATGAACCGGTACGATCGGGACTTAACCGGTGAATCAACTTCTTGACTCGCAAATGGGGTCCGTTGCTTTGGCTAATTTTCGGGATGTTAGTGTCTAAATGAAGCACTGCTCGTAAGCACATTGTGGCAAAGCAGCCACTACCAAGCGAGAACAAGCCGTGCAGTGAGAGCGGTACATCATACGAATGCTCGCAGGAATGAAAAGTGGGTGATATGTCGAGAGCGAAATGGTAGCATGGCAGCACGTGCGCTGGTCGATGCCCTGAAGTCAAGTGCACTCGATGTCATGCGGGTATGCGACCAGAGGTCACTTACGCGTCTTCAACTGGCCCCGGCTCGATGACAGCATCCCTCATGCCGTCTTGCTCCTTCATCTACGTACAGCAGCGTAGTCCAGCACGACATTACGCACTCACTATTCGCTTGCTTTGCCCACTTTGCTTGCTTGAGAGCGACTCCAGCGTCGTCTGACTCACGATAGAGCTACTTTGCGTTCGCAGCATCCTCAGATTTCGCGCGCCTGACCTCCAGAACCAACCGCAAAGCTTCTTCCCATTTACTGGCAAACGTTTCCTCCCCAGTGTGGTGAGCTCGCACCGTGCGTGTGATAAGACGTACGTGCTAAAACCAAAGTAGTTGGCAAAGCCTCGATGCTCGATGCTCTTCAGTGCGGACTCGAGTTCCAACGGATACTCTCTGTAGTGCAAGTGCGTCTCGGAAGAAAGACCACAGACGGCAATCGAAAACCCGCTTCCATTCGATCCCCACAAAGCGATTGGAGATTCTGCATAACTGAGGATGCCCACTGGAAGTCCCACCGTCGCTGGACCGTGCTGGAACGAGACAGCTGTGTTGTCTTTTCTGCCTGCGCACGAAAACACTGACAGCGGGTGACGAAGTCTGCATGTCAGCGTATCGAAAGCCGAGACATGCTTCGAGTTGGTCTACACGACATCCAGAAAATGATGAGCACGAGTTTGACGAGAGAAATGGCATGTGTCAGAAACAGTCTCACCTTCTGCAACACAAAGCGAAGATATGCTTGCTGCTGGAATCGCTTTCGCTCCCGATTGCTGTTCTCCTTCGGTAGCAATTACACGAAAGCGCTGCGCGTTATTCCAAGTTTCAGTCTTTGTGTTGAGCCTCGACGAGCTCTCGGCAATCAAGCGGTGCACCGCTGTCCGTCTTTTGCTCATCCGAGTCCTGTGTTCAACGCGCATCGATGTCAGCAGTGGCTTCTACTTTTTGTGCTCAGTGAAGCGATGATGCTGTTCGCACCTTTCGAGGCCGTCGAGTCATTAGCTCATTTCGGAATGACGTGAGTAGCCAATCTCAATTCTCTTGCACTATTCTTCCCTTCTGCAATTTCTTGTCAACCGGGTCCAGTGCCACTTTGTGTCTGCTGCACGGCGTGCCATCCAACGCCAAGCACCTGAAGAACACCATCATGCTACACGCCCTCTCTCCAGCGATCACTTCTAGACCCTTTCCCGTCTTTACATGTCGGTCTCAATCGCCTGCCAGCCATGTCAGACTCTTTACTGGCACTACGTCAGTTCACGTCACACCGCAACATGGTCGGGCAGGAACGAACTTGCGAACTACGCCATACGCGTCGCCCTTGACGCAAAGCACCAGTGCTGTATCGTAGGTCGAAAACAGTACAGCTGATTGTTGCTGCGTTCATCCTGACAGCATCAGACTTGAGTCGTGCAACACAGGACGCATTGCTTAAGAGGGAGGCAGCGGATGTCAGATCCGTTGCTCGACGGTGTCGAGCCACTCGGCAGCTTCCATGTGCTCGCTTTCGTTGCGTTGAGATATCACAAGTATCCGTCGACGTGATCGTGTGCGTACATGGCGTATATTGGCACCTATCAGAACGAAAGCGGTTCGTCACCATCCATGAACCACGGGTGGCAAAGCGCAGCGGCAATCGTAATCCGCTGTTCAGGCTTCTTTTCCAGGAGCCGATGTAGCAAGTCTTGGCACTCGTGACTGAGTGGTGCCTCCCGGACAGACTCTGCTGTGCCAGGCAGTTGCATCTCTGCACGAGCGATCTCTTCGAACAGGGCGCGTGTGCCCTCGGATCGGAACGGCAGTTTTCCAAACAAGAAGATGTAGAACATGATGCCGACAGCCCAAATGTCCACTTTGAATGGATCGTAGGCTTCTCCGGAACAGCATTCTGGCGCCAAGAACTGGTACGTGCCCACTGTGTCTGACAGCAGCACGGGTTCGGCATTTGCACCTGCTACTCCACCCACACCATCTGCCGCGCTGTCTCCGAGCGCTCTTGCACATCCGAAATCACTAATGTGGCACCGCCCCGATCCGTTCAGCAAAACGTTGTCCGGCTACATCAAGCGTACAATCCGTGCACATGGACGTCAAACATGCAGGTCAGCACCTACCGCAAAGCATCGCAACCTCATGACGCACCTACTGACCTTAATGTCTCGATGACAAATACGCCGTTCGTGCAAGTACTGCAGACCAAGCAAAAGGTCAGACATGTGGCTCCGCGCCAGCTCTTCCGACAGCGCACTGCCCGTGACAGGGCTACAAAAGTCCTTGGTCGCTGGTCGATAGACCATGCACGGCCCGCCCGCCATGTACTCAAGCACCAAGTACACTTTGTCGCTCCCGTCGGCCTCAATGACTTCAAACAGGAGCACAACGTTGCGATGGTACAGCGACCGCATGATCGAAATCTCGTCGCGCACTCGATCCAGCGCTGTGACCACTCGCAGCCTCACAGGCACTGCATCTTCACTTGCACCACACTCTCGTCCGTCTCGGAGCTGATCCCCAGCAGGCTCGGCACAGTACCCCTTCCGTCGACGCAGCATCGTCTTGGAGTAGATCTTGAGTGCAAACTGACGCACTGCGGGCCTTGCAAACGTCTCTGGACGAGGCAAAGTCGCCGCAGCTTCGTCGCCATCTTCAGCAGTTGTACGCACAGTCTGATCGTCGGTTGCGAACGACGAAGAGTCGCTGGCACTGCTGGTCTCGGCGAGCCGCTCGCAGAGCTTCACCTTGCCGAATCGTCCCTGACCCAGCGTATGCAGCACGCGGTAGTTGTTGAGGTACGTGGCGCCCTCGGGCGCCTTCCGCGTCACGACGGCGCGCGTCTCGACAATGTGCCAGGAACGTGGGCGAGCGTCGCTCATGCAGAGAAAACTGCCGATTTGACCGATGGTTGTACGCACGTAAAAAGACCTGTGCGATCGGGGCAGTCGTACATATTGTTTTCGTCGTACATATATGTAGCCATCCGCACCCCTTTGATCGGATTCAACACTCGAGAGAGGTTCTGTCCGTCCATGTCGCTCAAGCACCTCAAGCCGATCACCATCACGCGCAACTCGTCGCTCGCCGACGGCTATCAGCTCTTTCCCATTGCCGACAAATGGGCAGAGACGCTGCCGGACAGCGTCCCGCTCCAGTTCTCGCTCTTTCGGTGCGTGCGTAGCCACTGCGTCGGTCGTCACGAACGCTGTTGTTGTGGGCTGATATGTCGTCACGTGCGTGTAGCTACTTGGGGTTCTACGTGGCGTGCACGAAGAAGGGCAAGTCGACGGTCGTCAAGTCCCGTGCAGTCGCAGCGCTGCGCGTGACGATTCAGAACGACGGCAAAGTGGTGTTCAATGAGCGAGTGGGGACGGCCTTCCCCAATGGCGTCTACTACGTGCAGGACATTCGCCTCGAGAACGCTGGCGTGCACACTGTGTGTGTGACGGTCGAGGGCGGACTGGCCGATGACTTGGCACCGCTCGTGCTCACGACGCACGTGTTTGAGTTCATGGAGCTGCACGAGTGTCCCGAGTTGGCGAAAGGAGCGTACCAACCGCTGCGAGAGTTTGTCCTCACGTGCATTAACAAGGGACAAGGCGAACGACTGCGGGACGACGCATTCGTCGAGACTTATGTGCAGACGAAGAAACACGGGATACGGAATATGGACGCGCGGGTGCGTGCGTAGGTGATTGCGATGGGATGGGATCGACCACGTTGTCGGTGTACTGACACGACGTTTGCTCATGTAGTGGTGGCTCAAAGCGTTTGTTGAACACACGCTCGATCGTGAAAAGCGCCAGCGTCTTCTCCAGCTCAACGCTGCGGTTCGTGGTTCGCTTTCTGAGTCCATCAGCGCTCGCTGGAATGCGTTTGCTCACGTATGACATGTCGCGATTGCTTGCAGACGCATTCTTGCCGACGTTCTCACAAACGCAAACAGGATCGACCACGTGAGCTGCTTGCGCTGAACTGGATCCTTCGTGTCGATCTTACGCGATCGTTGTTTTTTTGCTGCATCAGGCCGTACAGCGGACAAGAGAGAGCACGATAACTTGTTTGCTTATCGGCAACGTGATTGGAAGCGCGTACGCGCCGGAGAAGTGCTCATGTTCACGACGGAGCCACTACACGGTGAGAAAAAAACATGCAAGATACGGGCAGCTTCAGTTTTAATTGTTTGCTTCTATTGTCGTAGCGGGGGCGACGACGACGGTCTTCAGCAGCAAGGAGATGTTCCGCCAACTAAGTCTCTATGCTCAAGTCTAACTGCGTCCCATGTGCTGCCTGCGATACATCTGTCTAGTGTACGTCTACAAACTAGTAATACACTCACTCGTCGGATCAGTCGGAGAAAAATGGCACAGCAATCGTGAACTCCAGTGATGGTGCAAGCGGCGTCTTCGCTGGATGCTCGAAGGCCGCTTCGTAGTACTCCCACAGCACCAACACGTACTGTGACAATGCACGCTCGGCATAAGCTTCCAACTGCGGAGAAAAGTACGCAACACGGTGCTTGCCCGGATCCATCTGCTCGGCGATCATTTTGAGGTTCGCATCAAGTTTGCTGGCGATCGATAGGTCCACGGATAGCTCCTCGTCGACAAGGCTGTCCCGGAAAACAGCATCGCCACCACTGCGGGTGCGTTTCAGCCGCGCGCTTGCGTCCCAGTTTGTGAGGCGCTGGAGTGCCTTCTTGCCTACCGCTACTCTCTTCGCAGGATCCATCTCGCTGTCCTCAGTGGGCCGCAGCATGGCCTGAGCCAACTCGCTCAAGTGACTCAAGTAACTGAGTGCAGGCGATGCAGCCGACAGGCTCGAGCCGCTGGATCCAAAGGTCGAACCGACCTCGAAAAACGGGGTCTGGGCGAGGAGAACTCGATCGGATGCGCTGGGAAGATCCAGCCGATTCGAAGTTGACGTCTTGAACACAATCATGTAGCAGAAGATCTTCCGGATCTGTGCAATACGAACACGTAAGTAGCTGTAGCGACGCACTTGCCATCGAACTGCCATACGCAACTCACCTCTTCGTTCCAATGCAAGAAAAAGTGAAAGAAGTTGTCCCGCAGGATCAGTTCCGTAACGAGCCGCTTGCGAACAGTAGTCGGCAACAAGTCGATGCAGTTGTAGATGCATGTGAGCACTTTCAGTACCGTTTGCACGTGTGAAGACTGCAGGGCGCTACGCATGCACTTCAGAAAATAGTCTCCGTCAAATGCTGATCCGAGGCAGCGACGGACACGGCCGCCGAATTTCCCGCTGTGTAATGTAGCTTCTGTTGCAGCAGGTAATGCGGCTATCGAGGCTATCTCAAGCACCCGCTGCAAGATGCCGAACGAGTAGTTGACGCTTGCAGGGTCAAGGATATTCGTACCCTCCAGAATTATTTGCATGAGCACATTCACCAGTGCTTCGTTTTTCAGTACCTCACTAGCGGCGTCCAGCACAGCCTCAATCTCGCGCTCATTCCAATAGTCTTCCCATGGATCACTTGTCTTGCCTTCAATAATCGAAAGAATGCGAAGCACAGAAGGCATCGACGAAGAATTTGCAGTTGATCGCGCACGTCTTTGGCACATTCGCTGGAAAACGGCCACATACAGGCGAATGAGGGCAAAGTAGCCGGGCACGCAATGCCACAAAATCCGACCATCTGCATAGCGATGATTGCACCAACTACTCACGTCGCTCAGCACAGCGGCCACGAACGATACGGCCATGAGGTCATCCTTACCCGGTGACTTCATTCGTTCAATGAACGGATCCAATCCTGCATCGATCTTGTCTTGTGTTGTTACCTTCATCTTTACAAACGCGTCGTTCTGCAGCTTGTGGCCAATATACAGCAAAGGTAGCTGGTAAATGAAAGTCACTTCTTGCTCCTCGCCAACTCGGTTCATGCCCAGCTGAAACGCAGCTTCCAGTGTGGCAGCGACAGACTTGTAGCTACCACCTTTTTGCAATAGATCCTGTGGAATGCCGGGTGTGCTCCAGCCTTTCGTAGGCACAACCAATCGATCTGTACCCCGATTCGACTTGTATTCGGAAAAGGAAGAAAATAGCTCAAGCTGCAAGTCGACACCGCTGATACGGTCCGACCGACACTTGGATTCTGCAATATCGAGTATACCGCAACAACAAAAATGTCAACATCGCTGCTCTTTCTTACAACCCACCAAGATGCTTGCAACAACACGGTACCCGAGAGATCATTCCAGTGGCGGCGGTACTGCCGAGGACTGCGTAAGTTACCGACAGCGCTTCCACCGTACCGACGCTTCGTCTTGACAGGACGGGCACCACTCTTCGCCCCGTCTGGACTTCCGCTTGACGCACTGCTTGGCCCGCATTTCGCACCTCGAACATCCGCATTGTTCACGATCCCTTCCAGTTTTTCAGTGCTTTGCAGCACAGCTTCGAGCAACTTGGGCGTAGCAAACGGGAAGCGAAAGTACACTGCTGTGTAGATATGCACTGCAAAGAAGCGATACTCCCCCGCGACGAGCCGAGCCGAGCGGATCTTGGCCGAGCAGAAGCGCACACTTCGTTCCAGTAAGCCGATGTACCGTTTCGACACGAGCGATTCCAGGTGCACCTGTTGGCCGTCCAGCGGGTATCCCTCAATAAACTCGACACGGCGACAGATGTACACTGCTGCCTGTAAATACAACGACCGGTAGTGACTGTGCGTCGGCACCGTATCCACCGACTTCATACAGTGCTCCCTAATCAAGCACACAACACACAAGAGAGCAGCACACCAAAGCACCGCAAGTACACACAATCAGTCCGTCAATAATACACTGTCCAAACGGTCCGAAAGCGCGCCCAATAGTTGCTGCGTCCCCTACCACAAGTCGAGCAGCACAGTCTGACCCACATGGAGGGGCAACATCTTGTTAAAGTACGAGTGGTACGTGAGCTTGCGGTCGCCCGGCGTGCCGGCGCTGCCGCCGTTCGACGCTTCTGCTGCTGCTGCCGTGCCAAAGTCCAAGTAGAAGAAGAAGGACCGACGCAAAAGCTCCAGCAGGTCCAAGAGCGCCAGCATCTTCTTCTCTGCGGTCCATCCGTTGGGGTCCGTCGCGCGGCCGCCGCCATTGAACCCCATCGACTGCGTGGGTCGCATACTGCCGTTGCTCGAGATCGTTGGCGCGCCCGACGCCGTCGCGCTCTCGCGGTTCCGCGTGAAGCTCCGGAGGTGCTGATGCAGCTGCGCGTTGAAGACGAGTCGCGCCTTCTCCGGGTGGCCGGCCGCCGTGCGGGACGGCAGCAGTGCGTCGGCCATATATCGGGCGCCGCCACGCGCTTGCGACGTGAGGGGCAGTGCGGGATCTGAGAGCGACGCTCGATGGCCGGGCGCGTGACGTGAGTCCGTTTCACTTGATGTTTGTATGCCGTCGCGCGCGAGCGAGTGCGACTGTGTGTTTCGTTCGCGGTGCCGTCCTCAGAACCGGCAAACCGGCGACTCGCTACTACTGGACTTTGGGGGGGGGCATCATCCATCCAACTCGTGGGCATTGGACTCACCACACGGTTTGTTTCCCGCTATTTTTGGAGCTTTCGATACCTTGTGGCTCCACGTGGATCGTCTGCCGTCTGTCGTCTGGCTGGATCGTCTGGCCGTCCGTCTGTCGGTCGGTCGGTCGGTCGGTCCTCCTCTGCCGTTGATGGACGGCAACGCAGCTCTCGTTTCTCACCGACCTTTGGCGCGGGACCCGCCGCTTCCCACATGATATGGACAGTCCGGCTGGATCTGGGCGTGCACGACCGCAGTGGGTTCAGTCGACGTCGGACGATCGCAGCGCCTGCAACGTGTCGAGCGCGTGTTGTTGTTGTTGTTGTTGTTGTTGTTGCATGACACGAATGACAGCCACTGCAACGAGAACCGGTCACTATATGCTGTAATGGTCACGAGATTTGGGGACGACGAACGAGAGACAGAGTTGACCGACCGTTGCAAGTGGACAGCGCTGGATCGCAACGTGCGTGCAACAACAGGCCGCGCTCGTGTGCGCTCCAGCGCTCGCAACCACTCGAGGAGAACATGTCCAGCGTGTGTGTGTGGTAGTACTAGTGGTAGTAGTAGTATTAAATAGCATCTACGAATAAGTTAGGAGGCCTAACTAGCTTACGTCGACGAGCAGCGGTCCTAGCGACCTGTTCTTGCTCAATTGCGCCAAGAAGCCGCTCGACGCCTCAGGTCCAGGACGAGCAGTGCGGTAGCGAAGTGGCGGTGGAGTGACTCGTGACAGCTGCAATGGCACGCGCGGGCCGCTTCAACCCGAGCAGCTCACTCGTTCCAAAACTCGGAGAGGTTCGCCGGCGGGATCTTGCGCGACGCACGCAGCACGAGCATCTCCGCGCGCACGGGCTCCGCCACGTGGTCGCACGTGCGGTCCACATCGTCTGCAACAGCGACCGCCACGTCGTCGCTGAAGCGCACGACGCGACGCGGCGCCACGAGCTCCAGCGCCTGCAGCTGCCCGACGAGCGAGTCGCGGCCGGCGTTTGCCTGCCGGATCACAACCTGTCGCCTCTGCGCGCTGACGCTCTCGGTCGCTCGCTCAATCTTCTCCAGCACGCGCATGGCGCGCTCCCAGTGGTTCTGCAGCATGAGCATGAGCGCGTGCTGGCGCGACGTCTGCAGGAACGTGAGCGCCTTGCGCACGCCCTCGCAGCCCACGACGCTCGGCCACTGCGCAATAGCAACAGCAGCAGCGGCAGCATCAACAGCAATGTCTCTCCCCGCCAACGTGGCTGGCGCGGGCGCTTCCGGCAGCGACGCGACAGCCATTGCCGAGCGCGGCGACGACTTGACCTGGCGCTTGCGCACCTTGAGCCGGGCCTCGCTCGGGACCGAGTCGCAGGGAGCGGCTGCTTCGTCGGTGGCGGCGCCTCCCACGGGCAGTGGCGGCTGCAGGCGCTTGTGCAGGCGACGCGAGAGGTCGTGGACTTGAATCACGCAGGACGTCATTTCGAGACTGGAAAGAGAGAGTCGAAGAGAGAACGCACCGGTCGAGTGCAGAGGGAGGAGGAGGAGGAGGAAGAAGAAGAAGAGGCGATGAGACCGACTTTACAACGTACGGCACTTGACGTCGACAATTGCAAAGTGCCGTTGCGAAAAAGCGACTCGAAACTCCGCTGCGGCGACGGCGGCGCTCCGAGTGGATCATCGAGAGGGGTCGGGCGGTCGGTAGCCGCGCGCCTCTGAGCAGCACGAGCCGAGCTGCGGTTGGGGCAGGATTTGTGGCCCGCAGCGACTTGGCGACAAACGGGAACGGCCGTCGCGCGCAGAGACCACCCGCGAGGCGGACACATGGGCCGTGCAGGGCGGTGGGGGCCGCGGGGGAAAGCCTTGAGGCGCGACTTATGGGCTGGACGAGGCCCGCTCAGCTTTTGCAGCCGCGCGGACCACGTGTTGCACACGGCGGGGAGCACCGTCGCGTAAAGAAGGACGAGGGCCTGCGACGTTTGGAGGGCGGCCATTGCGCCACGCTGGAACTTCCACGAACAAACAGCTGCAATCGAGTGGAGCAGATCCTGTCTGCCGTTGATAGGCGCCGCGTGGACGTGCGCTCAGTGGCGGGAGTGGGGGGACTGACTGACGGACGGACGGACGGACCGACCGACCGACCGACCGACCGACCACCTGCCGCTGTTGCACTCCGTCCTGACGCACGACGCACTCAGTCACATGACTGGCGCAGCAGACGAGACGCGTGAGCTCTACGAGCTGAACGTGTGGCTGTAGACGAGCCAGGCGCGAGACTGGCCGCACTCTGTATTTTGTTGCAGGAATTCCGGCGAGCGACGCCCGGCTATGTTTTCATTCACGGCGTGTGCACGCTCTGTAGGAGACGGGCCGCGCACCGGGCGCGCCAAATGTCTCGTATTGTGGACGTGCGCGCAGCCATTTATGTACAGTAACCAATGCGCGACAATCGGTCGCAGCACTAATAGCTCCCTCTAGTTGTTGTAGCTACCAGCGAGAGCGACTACAACAAGCGCAGGGCGAAGCCACATTTATGGACGTGCGGCTTGTTACATTGTCTCGCTCGCCTCGTTGTGCTCTACAAGCGTGGGCGGCGCCGCCCGGCTATCTCGCTCTCTCTGAGTGATCCAACTTGGAAAGAGACAGACGTGGCCAATTTCCTTGCACTGTTTTCGTCTCGGTCGGCTAAACATTCCACCCGCTTTACTACAGCTCAAAGGGCAGCCGCATGCGAGTGTCCCCAAAGAGTCCTTGATGATGCTGCCTCGACAAGCACGTCCCAACGTGTCGGAAAGGTGTTCGACTCCGCTGGATCCACGAGCTAGGGATGCACACGCAGCACAGTAGAGGGCACTGTCGTGCCCATCCGTGCGCGTCTTCTGTCGCCTCGTCCGCATGGTCTCGGTGGTGACGGTTTCTTGACTACATTGAACAGCCACCGTGTCTATCTGCATTGTATGACAGAAAGTGGGTGGGTAGTCATGCGTGCAGGCATCCAGAATCCTGGTCTCCTGTCGTCTAATGGCACATGAGCTTCCGCCAGCAGACCTGCGCGCGCGAGTATGTCCAGCTGAGATGATGTTCCGTCATCTCCTTGACAGCACGGCGATACTGTATCGTTCGACAAAACAGGTGTCGCTTCCGCGTCCAGCACAACAAAGAATCAGTGGACGCACGGCCACTCGATAGCGATAATGCACACTTCGTGCTCCATGCGCCCGTCATCGTCATGAGTCCAAATTGTTGCTGGCGTCTACTGCAACGCTGCCGTCAGTCTGTCACGCGCGATTATATGCAACACGCCGGAATGCCGCCACAGGTTTGGCTACTGCACTTCTTAAACGCTCCATCCACTCGAAACGATTGTCCGTCAACACCAGAAGGACGCGTGGATTTGCTCTAGAGTCAAGCACGCTCCTGGAATCCGTGGACAAGCGGATGCACGAAGCATGTGACACCTCTTGTATCTTGGCTCTGTCGGAGCGTCTAGCACTCGGCCACCGCCTGTGCTGACCCCTCTCTGTCGATCGCGGCACTTTCTTGATGTATTCCAATACGTTCTTGCTGCAGGATATTGACACCCTGCTGGTCGCGACCCGACCCTGTCATGACTTCTCTTACACCGCACGTTGTGGTGGGCTCCAGACGCGCATGTTGACCTGTTGTGTTGGAAGGTGCAGTAACCTGCTGCTACGGTTAACTTTCGGTGCGTCAGTACAACTGCTAGTCCCAAGCGGCACGCCTTGGCTTGTTCATACGTAGCTGCTTCTACCGTTGGAAGGACGACAGAGTACGTCTCGACCACTATTCGATGCAGCGGCAGCTGTGCAATCGTGCAGAGCACAAGCTTGCCAAACTCTCGCGATGTTGAGTGCTTCCTCGTTGGTCCGCAAACCATTCGATGTTGGCTTAAACGTACGTACGTCAGAAGGCTCTTGATCCTGGTGTCATCACATGGAAAGTCCGACGGAGTGGCCTTGCGAGCCAACATAGAGGAGTTTCATGATCGTCTATTTACTTGTTAAGATGTGCAAGGTGTCTGAAAAGTCCTGAACCAGGATACGAGCGCCGGAACGGTTAGCTCATCGTGGCTGATAGTCAGTGAAGCCTGGCGACCTGTAGGAACTTGGCTGAGAATGTCCAGGCAGGCGTGAAGACGCGCCCCTCTGACCGCTGTAGCTGCGGACCGATGTTCTCGCATAGCAATTGCCTTCAACTACCGCAGACCGCCCCGCCAGAATGCTAGGACACTTTGAGCCGGAGAAGTGGTCTCCCCTCGAAAGATTACCGCATTGCGCTCCACCCAAAGATGCACCTGACACAAGGAGCATAACACAAACCAGATCCGGCGGTATTCGTCTGTCGCTGCCGTGTGATCATCCCCAAAACGATCAATTAAGAGCTGCAGCAAACGCGGTGGAAGCGGAGGCGCCCTTCGATGAGCAAAATACCGAAAATGGCCCGACACTGCGGATTCCTGAACCCCCTCACCAGACCAATGACAGAGCAATAGGCTCCAGCAGGCTATCGCAGTTGAACAATCCCAAAATACATGAGTGACAGTCTCTTTGCGCCCCTTGCAGTGCTCGAGTTCGTGGCAACTGGGATCATCGGAGCGTCCGGCGTGATATAAATTAAGCTGATTGGTTGCGATCCGGTAACCCGTCCACACTTGGTACTCCGTAAGACTGTCCGCGTGCCGCCAAATTTGAGCGGGACTTTGATCCGCGACCGCTTCAAGCCACCGCTCCGACCGAGTATGGTGCTCAAAGTGTTTTAGCCTGACAACCCTTGGCTCGCAGAGGGGTTATGTAGAAGAGCCACTCTTAGCTAGTAAAGGAATTGCTTTGTACGAACTTGGAAAAATGAGAAGTGATATTAATAGTAATGTTTGTTCTCTGCCGTTGCTCCACCTTCACTGCAAAGGGGCAGCCCGTTACATGGAAGTGTCACTTTAAAAAAACAATGACAATAAAGAATATTCTTTGAATATTCTTTGAACAATATCACCGATAGTGGTGATATTGGTGAAGCGACTAAAGGGTCTGCTCATTGGTTGATATCTTGACGATATCAACCCACCAATCGCCGCAGGACGCGCGCAATGAGTGGTGACGAGACGTCACCATACACTCAGTTATATTAACATAATTAAGTCAGGTTGAACAGAGAGACAGTAACAAAAGACTTAATTATATTAATATAACAGTTTTACTCATCCCTTATCTACGCTTCCTCGTTTGCCTCGTGTACGTCTGTCGGGCGCACCAAAACCCTTGCGTTAAGTTCACGCAAGGGTGTTCCCCGTTACATTCACCCTGTCCGTGGTCTGGAATATGAGATCTGCGTTGACAGTTAGCTGCGAGCTACAACACGATCCGCATTCGATGACCCCCCGACGTCATACCGTTTTACGGGAAGTTCAATACAATCCATAAGCGCATGTCAAGCCAGTGCTGCAGCGCAGGGCAAAGCTGACGTTCATGGTAGTGAAAAGCCTGGCGTAAAAACGATGACGACACCCGGTGTAACGGGGTGAGCCTGTTACATAAAATTGGTACGAAAGTACCAATTATTAAATATTATATATTTTGACAGTATTCATTCAACATCACTCGAAAAAAGCGATGTTGTCGGAATATTACCTCAAAGGTTAATATCCGTGGAGGGGTCCACTTCTTGGTTGATGTACCGTGTACATCAACCAATTGAACCACCAATCGCTGCTGGACGCGCAATGGGTGGTGGACAGAAGACCCACATAAACAACAGTAGTTTAATATAGTTATATTAAGACAAAAGATGATTTAGCAAGAAACATAACTGTATTCAAAACCAGTTCTACTTTTCCCTCAAGACAGAGCTTTCGGGTTCTGTATTGTCTTGGTCGCGCTTCATCACGCCACGTGTACGTGACGTCGGGCGTACGCATCCTTGTATTGTTATCAATACAAGGCCTTGCTCAGTTATCTGAGCAAGAGCGTGCCCCGCTGCACCCAGTGATTTTTACTCGATCCTGCACGCTCCAAGGCAGCCGACGAAGGGCCGGATGGGCGAGAAAAACGAGCCCCTGTTCAAGCCGGTGATGCCAGTCAGCTGCCTCTTGCTCGTTAGAGGTGCGTAAGTCGGGAGGGTCGCCTTGCAAAAACCAGAGAAGGCCATCGACCCCCCCCCCCTCGAAAGACGAACGGTCTGCGCCGGTGACGAAGAGAAGCCTGGTGCTGTACTAACTATAGACGTGGCGGAGACCCGAGTCCACTGATACTGTTGTTGAAATGGTGGCGGCTGCCGCAATAGCATAGTCGGTTCTGTCAGTACCGCACCAATAGCAATATGCGGCGATGCGAGCAGAATCAGAGACGCCCACTGGCGTAATCTAGGGTGCAGATGGCTTGTAGCACCTTTACCGAGAGACGGGAGGGTAAAAGCGAATTCGTGCGGTCCTGTGCGCTGAATACATAGATCCCGGATCCGGCACGGAC